GCTGAGGGCTGGAGTCACGACCCATGGAAACACCAGGTCCATTTCAGCCCCAGTTGCTCCTCGGGGACCCAGAGAAATTTAACTGCCCAGACTGTAGTCTCCATGTGAAAGTAATAGGGGTTGAAGTCTGTGCCAACCCTGAATTTTCATGAACTTATGATGCTCCACCATAAACCTCTTGTTTCCCCCGTTTATCTCGGAGATTGAAGATTGGCAGTAACAGCGAGGACTGTGTTGGTACTTTTGCAGATTTGTTTGTTTTGTTTCGTTGGGGAATTTTTTGAACTTCAAAGAGTCTTTACCCCAAAGTTCGAGAGTCACTACACTGGAAAATGCTATGAAAAGCCTCAAAGGACAGCCAGAGTAGTTCCAACCAAAGTAAACTTCTGGAAACTTCCATTGGCCACAGAGAATGCCGAGTGAGAAGCTGACTGGGCTGGGATTTTGTGCACAGACTCTTCAGAAGCTGCTCGAACACATTCTCCATTCTCCACATCACAGGGTAAGGGGGAAGTGGACAACCACACCAGTGGGTTAGGGGCACCAGGAGATACCATGAGCACATGGACAGAGCATCCTTACCTCTCCGCTACAAGAGCTCTCCTGAAGTCTCCTGCAGAAAGCCCCACTTACGAGGGCACCTCCAAAAATACACCAGGTTCCGTGGGACTTTATCAAAATGGGCAGCTGAGGGTGGCCACTGGACAGTGCACATGACTGTCCAGCCCCAGGCCTCTGCGCTCCTGTTACTGGCAGTAATGACAAGAACTCCCAACCCACCCACCCTTCTCCATGGTCAGTCTCCCCGCCCCTCAACATCTGGACTGAAGGGGCCCCAGGCAGGCTGGCTGGCACAGGGAGGAATGCTGAGGAGCCTTCCCAGAGGGCAGGCTGACCCCAGGAGACTGCAGATGGTGACAAAGCCCATCTCAGGAGCAGTGTCTCTGGTGGGTGTGGACACGCTGCTGGCTGTGAGAATTCATAAGGAGTTTCTCAGGCGTCTGGATTTGACACCTCAGGACAGAAGCTCCGACAAGATTGATGACCCCCAATCTTGAACACGTGTAAGAAAAAGCACAACGCCAGTCATCTCTCGCCAAGAACAAACGTCAAGCTAGCACGTGCTTTTGGTGCAGGGCTTACTTGCATGGACAGAAAAAGCAACCTTAAAGGAAGAGAAAATTAATGACTAAAGGAAAAATCTGCTTTCTAAAAATCTGATAACCAACGAAGTATAGAAATAGTTCCTACACCAGAAGCACAATGTTCCCGAAGGGAAGTTTCTAGTACACTCATGATGTGCCCCAACCTGAACTAAAGTCAAACCTACACCCACTCCAGGGACAGGATTGCACCGATGCTTCGTCAGGAAGACACAGCCAGACAAGCTTTCTAAGCATCCACGGAACACCTCACGTCGCCTGACAAACGGGCGACTTGACGTGTTTTCTTGAGTTTTTATTTGTGAGCTGTTTTTTGGAGTGGGTAGCTTTGTTAGGTCGAGGGTTTCCTGTAGCATTAGCACTATGGTTAGAACGAGTGTGAGTATTAGGGGCAGGCTTTGGGTGAGGGCTAAGAGTAGGGCTTGGTTTAGTTTTAGGTTTACAGCGAGGTGTATTTTTATTTTTTCGTTTTTCTCAAAATCGATTTGATTTCCTCTTATTTAGAAGTTCTGTAAGCATTCTTCCCTCTTTTTGTGTTTTGCTGTTGTTGTTATTGTTGCAAATTCATATCTCTGGTTCCCTATTTTCTGTCTTGTAGGTTATTTTACTCTGGGCACTTCTGTATCTGCTCTGAGTTGTAGTGTACAATGTCAGACTGTGAGTGTCAGATTGTTGTCTCACATGTTTCATTTCTCGGAGAAGGTTGTGATCTCGCGTGCTCATCAGGGCAAGTGCAGAGCCTTCTTGGGGGGCGTGAGACTCTGAGAACTTACCCCCCATACTGAGCCACTGAGTCCCTCACAGCAGGCTACCCCGGTCCTCCTTTCACCACAGAGAGGTAAGATGCTGTCCATCAGTCCATCTGTTTGTCAGCCCTTCCTATGCTCAGGGCACCCACCCCAGTGCAGCAGGAACAGTGAGGATGTGCCAGGAGCTCATGCTTGTGAGGCAGAAAGAGAGTAGAAGGTCTCAGCGTCACAGAGCAGGAAATGAGAGTAAGATGCAGGGGGCGGGGGCCAGACGTCTGAAGAGTGCTGAGAGGAAGGGGGAGACCTGGTTCCCAGAAAGCAGGGACGGGGAGCCCCAGAGAGTGGGTGGGGAGACCCGGTTCCCAGAGAGCAGGGAGGGGGAGACTGGGTACCAGGATGCAGATTGCGGACCCACAGCTCCTACTCTGCCCTATCTCCCCAATGTCTTCCCTTCAACCTCACTTCTATGACAGACACACAGCAAGCTGTGATGCTGAGCTGTTACGACCTTGAACCCCAACCTTCCTTTATCTTTAAACACCAATTTGATTCAACCTGGGAACCCCGTGTGGTGCAAACTGTTAACACACTCAGCTGCTAGCAAGAAGGTTGGAGGTTCATGTCCACGGGGAGGTGCCTCAGAAGAAAGACTTGGTGGTCTCCTTCGGAAAACCCCACGGAGGGCAGTTCTGCTCATACACACACCACACAACGTCTCCATGAGCTGGGATCCGCTCAATAACAACTGATCCAGGAAGCTCCACTTCATGAGCTCATGTCATCTGTGAGAGTGGTGATGGTTCCCTCCCCCAGGCTGGCCCTGCTCACCAAACCCAATGCCAAGAACACACTGAAAGCTGGAAGAACCAGCCCTTGGCTTTCTAATCCCTTCGTTTGGGGAACAAAAGAAAAAAACTGCTTTATCTCTTATTAGATTCTTCCTCATTGACAAGCAAAAACCAGAGAATACAAAATGAAAATTCCTTTCACGTTTGTATCCAGTATGTGGGATGCATCCAGTTGTGAGATGACATCAAGAACATCAGACAGGAAGAAAGCAAAAGGTCACTAAGAAGCCAAGAAAGGAAAAGACCAAAATGGATGTCAGAGGAGACTCTAAAACTTGCTCTCCAGCGTAGAGCTGCTAAAACAAATGGAAGAAATGAGAAGAAATGAACAGAAAAATTTAAAGGTCAGCTCAAGAAGACATAGTCAAATCCAGAGGGTGTGGAGGAACGTAGAACCTCCACTGAGTAGTATACAATCTGTTTGGGCAGCACAGATGAAAGGAGATGGGGATAGGTCTCTTGTGATACAACAGTGAATAACTGTTTTCTGGACTGATTGTGAGGGTTGGAAATATAAAGGTAGATGTTTTGTAGCAAAAGGAGGGGAGTGATTGACTTTGCAGTCTAGGAGCGGAGGTCCCTGGGACCATCAAGGGAGAAGAGCAGAGAGCAGGACCCTAGCCAGAGAAGCAGTGATGCCTGAGA